ATTATCAAATAAATCACTATTACAGCATGACTTTTTAGTTATGCCAGATAAACTAAAGCTTAAAAAATCAGTAATTTCAAAAATTATCAAAGGAGCAGAAAATTTGCCTCATAAAATTTATTTATTTAAATTAAATCGGAGGAATGGATTAGAATTGTCGTTTGTTATCGTGTAATTATTAAATACTTAGATAGCTCCCCCATATCAGGAGAGTTGCAATTTGAATACAGGCAAAGAAATTTGTGAAACAAAACTGAATTAAATATGTGGAAAATTTTTCTTCTTCCCACATTAGCGCTATTCTTATTTTTTTTTCCATATTTTGTGATGTAAATTAAGATTTTCTCTAATTTGAACTATTCCAACAAATTATTAAAAGTTTTATTAATGTTTAGTTTTGAAATTTTAGCTCGAAAAATAATTCGGTAAAAATTTAATACGAAAAGGACAGATCGAATTGCTTCCATAAGATGCCAAATGGAATGATTTACTCATCCGATCGATCGTTCGATTTCGATAGTCGAAGGATGTCGGAAAAAGTTACCAAAAAAAGCGAACCTTAACGGTAACTGGAACTGGTTCAGGTGCAGTTTTAATAATTTCAGAATCAACAAGCTTGTAGTCTGTTCGCCTTCCTCTAGATCGTTCCAAAAGTTTCTCATTCAATCGAGCTAACTGATCTAAGTCGCTATTCTAAAGCAAAAAATACAATTATTATCATTAAATATTTATCTTCAAATTTCAATCATAAAAACATTCAATAAATTAGTTCCACATGCTAACTGATCATCAATTACCAAAATAGCGACAATTTCATATCCATTCTTCTTCCTCTTAATCAATTTGTATTATAAATATATATTATGCAAATTCAGATTATTCTTAGATCTAAAAAGTTCTCAACAAATTTGAATGACTGCGAAAAACCTTCCAGCATTTATGAAAATAAAAAGAAAGCATTAATAGAAGTTTCTAATTCAGCATGTTGTTGCTGTTAGTTGCAAACTTTAAATTATTAGTTTATCGCTTAAAGCGAAAAATAAAAAGTGATGCACGTGGCTTTTACGTGATGTATACGTAACGCATATAAATGAATGTGTTATATTAGTTGGTATAAAAGAGAATTTCAAGCTTAATTAAATAGAGCTTGAGGAGGAAGTTTGTTTTTTTAAACTTTTTTTCCTTCAAGCTGCTAGAAAATTAAATTAATTTATATTGTATGCATTCTGCTCTTATGAAGATTTTGAATACAACGTTCACTGTCTGGAAATTACAGTATGATCTACAAATTTAAAAGTTGTACCAGAAGTTGGTGAGGGATCCAAAAAAAAAGATCGAGAGCATAATTGAAATAATTTTAGCGAAAGAGCTTATTTAATTCATCGCACTAAATATATTAATTTATTTATGTTTAAACTTTCAAAACTCGCTTAACTTTTAATTAAATGGATTTTGCAGGGTAAGTAACGATTTTTAAAATGAAAAAAATGTACAATTTTAATTTTAATTCGTTCAAATTTTTAAATTTTCATAGAAAGTTGATAAAACTTATAATTTCATATAATAGTATCACAATTATTATCTTAGAACTGACATATTTTAAAGTTTCATTATTTTCATTCTTAGTCACAAAATGTTCAATACGCTATTCTTTAATAAAAGAAATCGATAGTAGCAATTTATTAAAATTTCAATTTTTACTATGAGATAGATGCTAGAAATTCTAACAACCTAATTTTTAAATACTTAAAAATTAATAAAAAAATTTTCTAATTATGAAATAAAATGAATTTATTGTTTTTTCTTAGTCACGGTAAATTACCTTTAATTAGAGGACGTACAATGATGAAAAGGTTTCAAAATGGCTGATAATCAATCAATGATACAAATAACATCATTATTTCTCTTATCACTATCAACTGTCTAGAAAATTCTGCCAATTTGTTTATTGTATTTCTCTAAGTAAGCATCGGGTGATGACAAATCATTTCAATAAAAAAGACCAATAATTAAACTGAATGAGTCAGAAATAAAGGAAAACAAGAAAGAGCTCACATTTTTCGGTCCTCCGCTTGCTGTCTGAAAATATTCGAAATTAACATTAATGATATCATGCAAAATCTAGTTTTATTTTGCAAAAAAAATTGTTTAAAATTTGAAAAAAAGGAAATCTCAACGCATTACCTATACTAATTGCATATTAAACATTTAACATAAAATTAAGCTAGCTGTTATCATTAAATGATATGTTATCAAACAATTAGTTTCACTTCACCCTAATATGATTGATAAATACAAAACACAGAACAGTTGGAACTGAGAAAGTTTGCACAGAGGTAATATCTGAAATGCTGAAATAAGAAATAATTAACAAATTATGGAAAGCATGAAATTTATGAATTAATAAAATCATTTCATAAAATTTAAATATATATTAACATAAAAAAGAATAAAACTAACAAATAGAGCAAATTAAAAATAAAATAAAATAGTTGCAAAATATTCTTACCGTTCTTTTCGTTGCAATCCTTTCGCTTGAGGTTATTTTATGATACTTAGTGATAACATAATAATTGTTATCATTGATGGAAGGATGGAAGAAATGGGTCATTCATTTATACAGAAAATATAAATGTAGCAGTTTATAAAGAAAAATTGAACAAAAGTTAATGAAATTTACTGGCATATTTATTTCGAAAAATATTGCAATTAAATAATTGAAATTATCGTTAACAGTGAAATAAATTTCGATGAAAAAAATGAATAGCTAAAGATTTCGGCATCAAAGATAATTTATCAAAAGTACAGTTAAATAACTTATAGATAGACTGAAACTATTTTACTAATTTGACAATCCAATCATTTGTTTTTAAATTCACTAAGTTTTACCGATCGAAGCTCACTGCTAAATTAGGATATTTCGTAAAAGTATAAAATTGAGCAATAATTAATGAAATTGAAACAATTTGCATATTTTTACAAAAGATAAAGAAATTTTAGAAAATTATAATGAAAAATAAAAAAGATTAAGAATTTGATTAATTTAAGAGAAATAAGATTGTTTGTTGTTTTATGCTTCTTTTTTTCAATTCTTTTAGAAAAATACTATCCATTCATTTCACACAAATGATCACAGGTATAAATGAATAAATGAAATTTATTCCGTCACTTTTCAGGTAATCATTACGGGAATCTCTAATAAGTAGACGGAAAGATATTGCTACACGTTGACCGATTATAAGATCAGATCGTCTGACCCATTAAAGCTATAAAATTAAAAAAATAACGCAAATTTAATGCTTTGTTTTAGTAAGTGAAAAATTGAAACTAAGTATGAAAATAATGTATAGAGTATTATGGAAGATAATGAAATATTAGAGAGGAGAAAGTAGATAATAGAAAAATATTTTAGAAGTATAACTGGAAATAATACGACACCAAAAACGATCGGTTACGGCTTCACAACAGAGTAAAACTTATCGTTTGATGGTAAAATTGCAAGAGCTGGAAACTTTTGCCTGAAAAGAAGTGGAATAAAAAATGCACATGTTGTACTATAATAAAATCGAGAAAGTTAAATTACTTCTAAATGTTTTGGTTCAAATTTGCTGAAAATTTATTAAAATACCTACCAAAGAAATTAGACAAATTAACTCCTTGTGTTCAGATAATCACCAATGGATGATGATCGCTGCCATTCAGTTACAGTTGAGGTTCGCGATTGTAGTTGTTCTCCTATGGTATTATCCATAGGTAAACGTGTCAAACGACGTGGTGTAGCTATTGATTGTGCCACTTGCTGATGTTGATGTGGTGTTGATGTACGACCGGAACGAACAGGAACACGATGTTGATGACCACCGTATTCTGAATGATCACGAACTGGGTGTAATAGCTTTAGCGGTGATACTTCACGAGAAAATTGTTGATAGGTATCGGGATGAACCACAGAACATGTAGTACGATTGCTTTGATTTGCGTTATGATGATTGATTTGACGAACTGACAAACCACTGGATGAAACCGACTGTCGCTCATTTCTCTGTTGCTAAATTCTAATAAGTTTTTAATCCAATAGTTCCTATCCTCTGGAGAAGAGTAAATGAAAAAAAATAGATTGGATTTTTCTTTGCTATCATAAATTATTAAATCCAAAAAATATTCTTGATTTACCTGACATGATTGATGATTACTAGCAGTAGCAGTATCAATACGTGTTGAAGTTGTTGAAAGAAGTTGTTGTCGAGGGCACTGTTGTCGCAAATACTGCAACAGAACATGAATGGTTGAATTAAGTATTACGAGGCAAAATTGCAAAAATTGTTTGTACTGATTAATTGAAATTTAAATGGTTAGGTTTTTGTCAATCCATGTGACAATCGTTTTTGTCAAATATTTTACGCCTCTTCCCAATGAATTGTCAGCGATGTAATTTATTGTTATCTTCTGGAAGAATACATTGTGAACAATTAATTGAAAGTTCAATTAGATTGGTTGATCATTTCTGCTAATTACGATACTACTAGCATATCAGGCATAAATGTAACAATATTATTGTAATTTATATTTGGACTAATTAAATTATTTCTAAAACTTTTCGGGATCCGCCTGATCGAAAAATCGTCTAATTAATTGCTTAACCTATCGAAGAAATGATTATCGGTTAAAGACAAACAAATAGAAAAGTTCATTATTTAATTAATAGCTTTTTGGTTGCTTATGTCAGTCTTACTAACATTTGAAATAAGCTGATTTTTTATTCAAAAAGTTAATGAATGAGTAAAATCGAATAAATGAATGCAATTTAACCGACCTGACCATTTCGGTTCATTTGAATAATGTTTGCTGGTGACTGTAATCCATCATCGATATTAATCGCAGGTATGGAAGATAATGGACGACATGTGCCACCTGAGTTCAAATGTAAATGAACTGAAGGTGTAGCTTGTCTTAATGAATTTTCGAATGCTGCAAGTTTTCCGCGTACATTGACATTCCGAGGCGTATCACGTGACGTGATCGTGGATGAGTGTACTGGCAAGTCGTAGATTTTCTCCCAATCTGCTATATCTGAAATAAACTTTTGTTAACTACCTTTTACATCTAGCACCACTTGCCCAATTTCAAACCTTCTAGCATCATTTATTTAACTTCAAATCTTATGGTGGCACGATGGTATAATAGTTGGGTGATACTTATATTTTTAGCTAAACAAACATAAACGTTACTAATATTTTAATATAATTAGTAGTAAGATCATAATAATTAAACTGACCATGACGTTGTGAAGATGTCGTTGTTGATGGAAGCTCTCCCAGACGATGAAATCTTCTTTGATGGATGATTTCCACTTCCTTATCTAAATCCGAACTAACTGATTCCGGCAAGTTCTGCGAATGTTTTTTTTTCAGTATCTAAATTCTATCAAATTTGAAGTTGGTGCAGAATGAAGTTGGCACGAAAATATAGTAAAGTTTGAGGGAGAATTTAAAATGTATGGGAAATTGAAGTTGGAAAAAATGAGATAAAAGTTGAAGTAGAATTTTTAAAATACATAGAAAATTTATTAAAAAAAATTAAAAGGTTTATATCTTTTATTTTTTGAAAAAGTTTCAGAAGTGATATAAAGGTTAAATAAAAACTTTATTTTCCTACTTTGATAGCATTTGGTGCATGAGGATAGAAGCCACCAAATGGAGTAGCACGTGGACCACCAAATGCTGGTTTTGGTCGATGACTACCATCGGGTAATGGTTGAACAAGATGCTTGATTTGACGTTTTGCAGGTTCATCTAATGGACCAGGACCTAAATTACATTGAATTTTTGAAATCAACAAATATAATTTTAATCAGAAAATTTCATCTTATTCTTAAAATTTATTTTCATAGTTTAAAATCAACTTTCGTAATGGTACATACCAAATCCTCGTGGTGTGCCAGGTAATGAATTTCCTGGAGTAAAATTCTTACGTTCCTGTTTATATTCTGGATCATAAACAGTTGGTTGCCAACGGAATTCAACATTTTCAACTGCTCGACCTGCCGCATTATCTGTAAAAGTTCATTGCAATAAGGGCGAATTAAAGCACACATTCAGAAATCAAAAATATTAGATTTCTTACTTGAAATTAATCAATAACAAACTGAACTGAAATAAATTTACTTTGAATTTACGAAAAGTCACTTAAGCAAGGCCGAAGCATTTCTCAGAATTCTCTGATCTCAAGAAAATAATACAATTTAAAAGTTACCAGTCGAGTAGCTACTACTACTTCCAAGGCTTGACTCAGCATTTAATGCTTTACGCATACATGGCCAAATATAAGGTAGTTCCGATGGTGGTTTCCATCGTTTCCCGATCCGAAAAATCACTGGTTCAGGTTTTGGTTTTTCGATAAATACCTCTCGACGCTGGAAAAGATTTATATCATTTGTTTTATGCATTTATGTCATTTGTTTTATGCTTACAGGAGCGAATTTTCAGTGCTGTAACAAACGCATGTTTATAGTACCACGATCATGAACACCACAATTGTCAGTACTGTAACATTGGAATTACGATAATTTTAAAATCAGAATAAGAAAAAATGATAAATGTTTCAGAATTAAATAAAACGATAAAATTTCACTTTTGATAATTTCCATAAATTTGAAATAACATAACCAACTTGAAATCAATAATAATATATCAATGTTATAAAACAGAGTACCTTCAATAAGTCAATGTCGAATCGTTCCTTTTCGAGAAGTTGCTCACTAGTGATAATTTCATTTTTAGCAATTGGTTTTGATTGCTCAACGATATACAACCGTTTCCAGGTTACCGGATTTGGTAAGCCAGTAAATTCCTGTTGTTCACCTTCTTCAGATGTTATCGTAATTGGACGTGTTTCATAAACATGCATCAGTCGTGGTTCTAGGCTTTTCTAAATTTTAGCTCTTTATTGATGAACATTTTCAAATATTTTAGGCCATAAAAGCTACGACAATAAAAATTTTCAAATAAGTACAGAATTGATTTTTTTAACTCATCCACCACTACTATTAATTATTATTTTATGAGTGAAATTTATAAATGATTTTTTATTTTTGCCTATTTTTACTTTCTATCTTTTAATGCTACAAAAAAGCCCTTTGAAGGCCCTTTAAATGATTTCACTGTACTGTCATCTAATAATGTGACACGTAAAAAAGTGAAAAACGAAAACGCTAATTATCGCCATATATTATATGCATGAATTTCTCGTTCTTGGAGTAATTTCGAAGTTTAATTCCAAACAGATACGCGGCAATGGTTATAAGTTAGAAACGAACCTCAGAGGAAAGTTCGTTTTGCCATTTTTGAGCACCCATATCGATCTGTCGTAATTCTTCTCGAGATTGTGTCATTGATTCGTCTAATTCTGAGCTACTTCTATTTCGTCTTGCTTGCATTTGTTGATAATATAGACGCTCTTGTATTTCTAATGCACGCATCTTAAAATACTTCATAAAAGACGGCTAATTTGGCTTTCCGATCAAAAATTGGTAATACTCTAAAGGTCAACATACAACGTGGACAAAATAAAATTCTTGATTAAATTTTATATTAATTACCTGTTTTTCTTTCCATGCAATAGCTTCCTCTTTCTTACGTCTTATAGCTTCCAATTCAAATTCCTTCTGCCGATAATACTCATTAATTCGATCCGGATCAGTGATATTTCTGGTTCTCAATGATGGTGGAACTGATCGCGCACGTTGATGTTCATGTTTTATTGGTGGTGATGGGCAATGGACAACATTTTCTCCAATTTCATTAATCTGCAAACCTATTAAACTAAAACATGACATTAACGGATTACTTAACATAAAAGGAAGTCAAAAAGATAATGGGAAATGGTAAATTAGCGAATGTGTAGAATTGAATTACGACATAAACAAATTTTATCCTATTGTTTTAAAATCCAAATAATTATAATTAGTCAAAATCAATAATCATTTACTTTTTCTAGTTCCGCTACATTTACTTCCATTGCTGACACCGATTTTGATCGATTGTCATACCTGAATAATTGAGATTTAAATCATGACATGAGTTACTACTACTAGCTTCTCATCACCTAGATTAACAACTAATGACCATTTTCTTGTTAAATTATTGAAAAGAAGATATTTAATGAAATTAGCAAGGATGAAAATCAAACTTTAAATTATAGCTGGAATCATCGGCAGAATTCTGCTGCTGTTTTCTGGTTAAACAGTAATCGTCGACAGGAACTTGATGCATTTCCAATGATCCTCTGGAAATGAAAGAGAAATATTGGCAAATTTGACATATTCTTAAATTTGAATCGTTTCAATAAACCTCTACCGTATTTGTAAATTTCAGATAATGTATTTGAAGAAATAAATAGAAATTTTTTAGAATATGGAAAATAAAAAAGTTTCAAATTAATATAATTTAAAATTAGCAAATATATTTGAAAACCTCGCGAAATAGCACAAAATAATTGCTAATAAAATTCGCAAGCACATTTTCAACTAAAAATTCTTCGTTTGTTTAGGAATACTTCTATGATAACAATTAGAGTGGCAAAGGAATCCAACACTTTTCACATTCACAATTTTAATGCATTAAAAATTAAACCTTTGCTGCTTGTTGTGAACTTCTTCAAGAGTAAAGAAAGGTCCATTGAAAGAGGCATGTGGAAGATGATGAGATGTTTGAGGTCGTAGTAGTTTCTGTTGTCTCAAATTCTCTTGCATAACTTGATATAGCTTGTTCTCTCTGCCGACTGAATGTAGATTCGGTTGATTCACATGACCGGAATTATTATAACTCTGATTTTGATAATGCAGTTTTTCTACCTGAAATAGAAATCTTGCATTTAACAATCATTTTATTGGTATAAAATCTATATTTGTTTCCTCTTCTGTTAAATATTTTAAAGATATGAGATGATACACCAAAATGCAAAATAAGATTTTTTCAACGATAGCCGATATAGCCAATTAATTTTGATAAATTTTAAATTGGATCTGAAATGAAGTAAGACTACTATTTCTGCTCTCAGTTATTCCAACTGACAGAAGAAATACTAGTCTAAATTTTGGATTTAAAAACTTAAATGCATTAATTCATATGCTCAATAGATTCATTTCTAAAATCTCATTTAAAATTTAGAAAATATTATTTTTCTTCATTCCATTCTTTCCTGAGAGAAATTGAACAATCAATCTGTCATTAATGAAAGCATTCCAATTGTGAATTACGCAATATTTTTCTTTATTAGTTTTAAAAAATTTAATAATGAAATCCTAAGATGTTAGGCAGGAATGATTCTATTCATTGGTTAACTGATTTAGGTGTATTTAAATTTCTTAATCGATAAAGATCTGTTAACAACTCGTATGTAATTTTCAAATTTTGTGAAAATGTTAACTCTTTAACACTGTATATAGTATACCTCATGACCACCGTCGTTGATTTGAATTTTTCCAAGGTAACGTTCGAGGTTATTATTATTGGTGTTAGAGAAAGATGGTGATAACAGTGGTACTGATCGCTGTTTCAAAATAGATTTTGGTTGCTTGCTGGAGTCACTCGAACAGCTACGTGGAGATTCTAATGCATCGGGTGACTTTTGCGGTGGAACATTTAGGTCAGAATGATATTTAAAATTGCTGTTCTCCTCATGAACCTGGAAAAAATTGGGATGTCTTTTGAATTTTCAAAATAATTCTGATAGCAGTTAGGATTTCAATAAGTTAAGACAAATATAGTTGAATAGGCTTGAAAATTAAAAGAGCTTTTGCTATAATTTGATATAGGATCACGGTATGATGAAGATGAGATACAGATACAGTTTCTTGTCCTTGTCAAAAATATATAATTCAACTACTGTTCTGTTATCTGCTTTATGGGTTTGAATTGATTTGTCTCATTCAGGCGATACTTATATTTCTTGAATGACCTATAACCTCGATTCTAATCAGATATCCGTTATTGCTCATTCTAATTTTATGATATCTAATTTATTCAGAAAACGACTATTCATAATGATTGATTAATCCCGACAAGTTTTAACATTTAAATTTAAATTATACTATTTTGCTTTCGTTACTGCAATACGTTTCATTTTGATTCGTACAAATGATTCGGCGATGCGATTTTGGATCAATAATTTGGACCGCAATTATTGATGCCGGAGGTTTTTCCATTTTGCCAATACAACGAGAGGTTTGATTCCAGTTTCTAATCATATCGATACTCTCTGACGGATAAATTGTCTGCAAAAGGCTTGAAACAGTTGAAAATGAGGGTAAAAAATTGGAATTCTTGAATATTTATTCGTTTTCAGCATTTTAAATACTTTTAATCGATATTTAACTGTACTGTGTAAGGTTTGGAAGTATCCGTAGACCAGGGCGTCTCCAGTGATTTATCACAACACCGCCGAGTAATGCCTTCATTTTTCTTTGTAAATTGATGATCCACTACGACAAGATTGTTGATACTTTCAGGTTTCAAATTCTAAAATTATCAGGTTTAAAAATTTAAAAAAAAAATGCATCAAATTAAAAATCTTGAAAATTAATTTGGATCAGAAAATCAGAAAGATCAATTTTTGGTGTGAGAGGTTTACAAACCATAGTACTTTATTAGCATTAAGATGTCATTCTATTTGCTAAATTTGAAATTTTAATGTATAATTAAAATTTTGCTAATTGTTTTTAAGTCGATAATCTGAATATTAATTTAATGAGTAATTAATGTTTCGTCAATATTCAGCCTTTAGATTTCGGATTTGAAAGTATTTCTTTCAGTATTCTTGACAAAATGAATTATTATTCTTTATAAATTATAATGGTGACAGTAATGACCAAGAATGGCAAGAAATGCCTATTGAACCTATTTCAACTATAGCAAAGAATTATTTCCACCTTAATTTAAGCTTGATCTCTATCTGTTTAATTCTAGCCCAACTTAGGTCTGTTTAGACAATTACTAAAGGAAATCGTATTCATTATGAATTATATGTATCATGGGGAAAAAAATTCTTGTCTTTTGGAAAAGCAAAAAGATTTTTTTCTTGACAAATATTTCCTCCAATTGACTTACTTCTTCATATAAGTAAATAAGCAAACTCAAATTGAGCTAACTACTCTTGAAAGTGGTGAGGAGAAATTCAGGTGTTCCATATGTACTGTAAACAAAAACAATCATTGGAACAGAACAATGATAATACGATATCTTCGAAATGCATCACAAAAATTTTTTCTTTTGCCAAAAATGAATAAAATCTCGAATACTTTTTGTTAAAAATGAAAATTAAAAATCGATATATGAGCGTATAAGTTTGTAATTATAACCGATTATAATTCACTTAGACGATTATAATTCACTTAGTTTAAACTATATAAACTTAATGATTTCTATTTGTGTATGTATTGTCGTATAACAATTAAGTTAGGTTAATTATCATGCTATGTATATGAATAAAGTTATATTTCTAAGTAACTGGAATACGGTAGAACTGAACAGATGACAAATTGTCATTAAAGAACCTGTTCTGGAGACTCTCGAATATTATGATCGTGAAAATTGACGGATTTTTGATCATTGTGTTCCATGAAATTGCTACAGCTACTATTGTTTTCTTCGTTAGTAGCTTCTTTGATATCACGCAATGAAATAGATGAAGTATGAAATGGAGAACGATAAGGTGCTGGGGTAAATAATCGTAAAGGGCGATAGTGACGACGATCAACAAAATATGACGATGTCGCTAATGATGAAGGTTCGAGTAAATTTTGTTGCTGCGACATCGTAGAAAAGTGATTTAGAGAGTTAAAAGATTGTATAAAAGGATTTCCAATACGATCTAGAAATCCCAATTGGGAAAAATCAGATTGCAATGAATGCTTATGCGTTATGGACCAGAAGAATTGTGTTCGGTTTATTGCTGAATTTGATGGAGTTGTGAAGAAGTCATCATAATTTGATTGATGACTTACTTCTTAGGCATTGCTTACGACGGAGATTTCACTGATCGATATGAATGCAAATATTTCTATCCAAAAAAATTAATCCTAATTTTCTCAAATTCATTAATGAAATGTATTTTAGATAAAAATAAACAGCAAAATTCACAAGTAGTAATAATGATTACAGAGAATAGCAACAACAGTACCTTTACTGCAAAAAACAAACTTCTATTTCTGCAGCTTTCGTACTGTTAATTGTACAAGAATAAGAATAAAAACAATTGTTTGTTTGTAATGAAAAATTAATTGTTATACTGTGCGCCACTTTGAAATTTCCACATTGTTGACATGGAATGTGACAACAGAAGAAATGGAAGAAGTGAACAGATAAATAGGTAACAGTATCTAATAGGATAATCTAATCATCATAAAATTTTTTCATTATCAGTAATCATATCATCCAGTCAATAGCAGCAAAAATTTCAAATATTAAAGATCTCGAGAATTATCTAGATATTTCAGATGAGAGAAGAAGCAGCAATTCAATGAAACTTATTACCAGTCAACTTACCAGTCAAATTGATAGCAACATACACACATATACACATACAAAATGAGCTAACCAACTGAGTTAATACCTTAAAAAAATACAATTCCATACTTTCACCCATTCACTCACCAACAAGATATATGTATAAACTTACATAACACACAGAGATACACACATAGACGGATACACCACAACATATATTTAGAGGTAGATGACAGTCCGTTCATTCGTTCATTTCAGTTTATTCAATAAGCTTTCCATTACAACAATATTTAGAGGGTTCTATCATCAGAGGTGCTTTAGCAAACAAAATTTCTCCCAACAAAACAGGCGACGATATATCAACGAAAGACAGCCAATAAGAAAAAGAAGAAATGGGCAGATTTTTCTTTTTTGAGAGAGAGATTCAACGAATAGTTGACAAAGGAATAGCTGGAAATGACAGATAGAATTTAATTTTCTATTACATCAATATAACGAATTAATGAAATTCATCTTAAATTCCACTTTTTAAAAGAGATTCTTTTAGCTCTTTTTATTTTTAAATATTTAAGAGTTGATTGAATTCAAAAAAGCTAAATGTTTATTTTAATATCACAAGTTTATTAGATAATATCGGCGAGTATCATTCGTGAAAATGCCCTCAAAATAAACTTACTTTATTTAGATAAGAGATAAAATTTTAAGTTTTTATAAGTTAAAATAGGAAAAAAAATCTGTAAAAATTAATACAGACTATTTTCAAACGATGACTGATAAAACAGTCTTTGTTAAAATTTAACTTAAAATTTCATTTCATTCATTTCTAAATCTATTCTAAAACCATTAAACAATTTCTGGCATACCCTCGTAAACCTGCTAATGATAAAGATTTATCAATAGTGTTCTATAAATAAACACAAAACTAAAATTATATTCCTTTCTGTCACGAAAAATTATAAAATTTTCTTTTCTACTTCTCGTACATTGACGAGAGCACATAAAAAAGCGAAGTGAAAGATTATCAGAAGTTATCAAACAACTAAACTTACTGACCAATATGCTTATTTCATTTAATTATATGAGCTAATGAATCTTTTTCAAAAAAACTTCTTGAAGTAACTCCTAAATTATCAGACGATATTTGTAATAATTTTCCAACTGAATTCAATTCAAAATCAAAACTTTCCCGTAATTTATATTAATTATCCGCACAAACAGAATAAGATGTGCTATTTTGTAATCGAAATAAATAAATGAAGAATTGTATATTAAAAATAACCTGTCAAATATATTTCAACCAATAAATGAATATTAGTAAAAAGCTATGACTCAAAATGAAAATTTTTTTTAATTAGAACTTTCGATTAATTTGTTAGAAACGTGACAGTAATTTATTACTCATAAGTTCGACATGATTTTTGCGCCTTTTACTAATAATATAAAGATTCCGGTAACTTAGAAGCAAGTGCCCATTAATAAGAATAGGGTAGATTTTCTGAATCCCTAAAATTCAACTAACTAAAGTGTATTGAGCAAGTTATTGTATTTCAAACAGAAAAATTTATTAAATGAACTTGGTTCATTTAATACATTTCTATGTTTAATGAATTAATTATTATACTTGATTTCATAAGTCCAATGAATTCATTAAACATAGAAATTTAAATTGAAAATTAGTTGACAACCTATCTCACATATAATCGTTCAGGGATTTCATCAAGCATTCATTTATTATCAGGTAGGTAATTCGATCGTTAAATTCACTTTCGTTAAAATTTCACCTCTTAAATATTTTGATAGCACACATAGATGCAAATATTTACACGGAATGCTAACTTCCACATTCCTCATACTTTTCCCATTCGTTATTGTTCACAAAAATTTGAAGTATTTGTGCCAACAAATACTTCAAATTAAAATTCATACTTAAAAGTTGCTGACAAATTAAACATAAACTATTCTTAAATATAAACTAAAAAAAAGTTTAAAAAATGCTTGGCAAATTAAATATAAACTAAAAAAGTTTAAAATTGTTTGCAAAGTGTTCTTCGAAATTCCCTTGATTAAATAATTCTACAGATCAATTAAGTATTACTAAAATAGTTCTGTAGACTTTAAGTATATCAAGATGTCGCAGCATAATAAAAAATAGACCCGAACTTTCCAACAATTAACTAAATGAAATAAAATGTTTTTGGTGTAGTAAATTGCCACTGAAATACTTATATCGCTAAGTAAGCAACCGGAAATTCACATTGATGAATTCCCTGTTATTAGAAAAGCAGGCTTAAATCAATATAATCATTAAGAGTTCGGAAAATCAAAAATTTATAAGAATTGAAATTTTTGAGGAAGAAAAATGAATAGATGAAACATATACGTACTATGTTCGTTATTCATTCCGTAATGAAGTGTCCAAGCAATCCGATTTCAATTCTGATCCATTTCATTCTACTTCCATAAAATCTCACAGTATCGGATAACATTCCATTGCTACTGCGTCTTTTGTATGTTTTTCAACGGTTTTCTGTGCCTTTTTTGGCCCTTACCAAGCCTTACAATCTCAGTTCCAACTTGGACAAATAAACAGAAAATAAACAAAAGATTATGACACAATACAAGTTACATAGAGACAATCTAAACTAAAATTCAAAAAATAAAAATTTTTTAAAATTTAACAAATTCAAAAATTTGAAGTTATAATCTACGAACCAAAAAAAATAGCATTTATTGCTAAACCAGCAATTTTTTGGGATTGGATAACGTCTAAAAAATTTCATCAAATCGTTCACAACAATTAAAGCTATGATTATTTCCTACGATATATCGCGAAATCATCATTATTAATTTGATTAGATTATACTTAACAAAGATAATCTGCTAAATTATAAGTAAAAAACAATTACAAGAATTGGACAAAAAAAAAGCACAGGACTAGCTTACTTAAAAATAAATTACCGAGAAATTTTAAATGAAAAGAAAATCTTACCTTCTGAAGAGCTTCGATAGTCTGAAATTAAAAACAAGTCACTAAAAATATCAAAAAAATTTGAGATTTATTTTTAATTGAAAGTGGTTGGTCAAATTGTGAAGATGATGGGCATGTCCGGTGTTTGACCATAGATAATTTCATGTAGTCATAATTTAACATTTAAATCATCAAGGCCATCATCTCTCCTAGGTTTCCACTTTTAATGCATTCTTATGATACATTAGATGACAGATTATCATTCCGCAGCATAGTCAATTACGATATGGATTACCATATGTTTTGACAAGGTCAAATGTGAAATGTTCATTTGAACTTCTTTTCTTTTCAAAATTTTCAAATCATCGGATTTCATTTTCATTTTATATCCTTTGCAGTGAAATCTGTTGTGTTTTATATCATCTTGAAACATTATCGGAACATTAATTTAATATAATTTAATGCAAATAATGATTTGAAAAAAAGATTCATAATTGACCTTCTTGATTTCAGCAAGTTCTTTCAGTGATTGATCATTTGATTTTGTAGTCTGAAAATGATCAAATATTTTCATTTCTGCAATTTCCATCATTAACTTTACTTTAATCATATAAAATTTTCTTCGCACTAAGCTTTCCAAACTAATGAAAACTATAATTGATACCTTTGGGCCAGGCCATTGAGGCTTATCCCATGGTTTATTAGCATCATTTTCCCTTGCTTTTAAGTAATCTTTTAGTCGTGATGCTTCCATATCACGATGTCGATCTAGGCTTTCCGTTAAATATGCACTAGTTGTGATAGGACGTGTTTCAACAGCCTAAAACTCCAGAATTTTTTGCTTGAAAATTAGATTTCGTTTTAAAAAAATTTAAATTCAACGTATTAAATTCGACGCTTCTGAAATTTTCAAGAATCATAAATCAAAATTAGAAAATTGTAGCAATTATTTTAAACTTGTTTTAAATAGACTATCTTATGCTGCGCAATGGAAAAAGTTGAACTGATGAAAGTTTTACACATATAGTTTTATAATAAATAAATCTAAACGATTTCCTTCTTCTTCATGAAAATATCTAACAAAAGCTTCCTATAATATCATATTTTTACTTTCAATTCAGAAAATGGTATTTGAAAATTTTCCATATTATATATTGCATACCCGTAATTTCCTTTGTTGCATTGGTTCCAATTTCAGGAATGACCGTTTACTATGTTCACTTGGAAAATCTAAATTTCGCCGTTGAATTCGTGGAATCTCTCGATTTTGTGCCGGCATCGATGCGTTCGAAGTAACTTTTGGATCGATAATTTGTAATTTGAAATGATCCTGCGTTTCTT